ATGATCTCGCAGTTATCTACACTTCCAGACTAACAAATAATAACAAAAGGTATATGAAAAGCTCAGAAGCTACAACATTTCTGAGAGACTAATTCGGTATTCACCGCTACGCAACTCAAGTGGTGATTTGTTTACATCATCTCAATATATCTTATCATTACACCATACAAAAAGTCTGTACAATAGATTAAGTATCAGTAGTTACAATAAACTAATTTCACTAAAGAAATCTCTTAGAATGACGTATGTTTTTTCTTCTTCGATAGACTACGAATTTGTATCGACCTGACCATCCTTGTAAACTAGCGCTCAATATGCTATTATCAATAAATTATGTTGAAAAGCACGCAGGACGAAACATTTGTAACCTTTCAACTTGCCTTCATGAGATTTCTATGTTTCTATTGCTGAACTACTAAAAACCGCATTACTCTCAGTTACTATTACCACAAAGTTTAGTGTGGAAACGATGTAATTTTACCTAAATATTTAGTCGCACTTTTTGAGTGCTTGTCAGCATTAGACCATCAGGTTTTTTCTTTGGCCATCAGAACAGGCGTCACGGTTTTAGCTTTAACACTCGTCGCATCTTATTTCGCACCCCAGTCATGAAAGGGGCCCGTTTTCTGAAACCCGGGTAAAGCAGGAGGGTAAGGGATGGGGCCAGCAACTCTATTCTGTAGGGAACCACCTTGCTTAAAAAACCCTGACCAGAGTAAACCATTTAAACTATTCCCTGGGAGTTCGAAGATCTTTATTCGGAAGAATCATGACGCCTCATAATGAAAGCCGAAGTTCTTCGGACGTCGAAATGCCGATGTGACTTCGGACAACCAAAGCAGCAGTTAATATAGGTACATGGAATGTCCGGATAATGTCGGAGACCGGAAGGACGGTTATAGGCGGCACATATTTTCCACACAAACATAATCACGAAGCTACATGGGTGTCACCGGATCACACTACACATGACCAGATCGACCATATTTGTATCACCAAAACATCCTGACGGACAACGGAAAACGTGAGGACCAGCAGCAGAGCTGATATAGCTTCAGGTCATCACCAACTGTTGGTTGCCAAGATGAAACTGAAGCTAACGAAACTTTGGACAGTCAGAGAGACAGCATTACAAAGGTTCAATACAGCCTTCCTTCTAGATACTGGCAAACTCAATGAATTCAGGATAGCTCTCAACAACAGGTTCCAAGCCTTGCATGACCGAATGAAAGAAGAAGAGACTATTATGGATGACATTTGGAAATGGATCAAAGAAACACCAACTTCGACATATCAGGAGGCTTTATGCCCCAAGAAGCATCATCACAAGAAATGAATCTCTATTGAAACCGTGGACAATTTTCAAGAAAGGAGGAACAAGAAGACAACAATTAACAGTAACCGAACAAGAATAGACAAAGTCAAAGCACAGACCGAATACACAGAACCGAAAATCTGAAATACGTGTGAGGACTAGCAATGATAGCCGAAAATGCTGGAAAATATGGAATTATGAGACAATCATATGATGCAACAGAGAAAATAGAGGGGATATATTGTGAGACGGTGTGACCATTCAAATATAAAGAGGCAAGCTGATAATTGAGATTGAAGAACAGTGGAAGAAATAGGTAGAATACTTCCAGGAACTCTTGAATAGATTAGCTTCATTGAATCCACCAGGCATTAAAATGGAACTTAAGACCTTCCTATCGATGTCGCTCCACCGATGATCAAAGAAATCAGGATGACCGACCATGAGACAAATCAAGAGTGGGAAAGCAGCAGCACCTGGCAATATACCAGCCGAAACACTGTAGCCACATATAGAAGTGAGTGCAAGGATTCTTCAGATCCTATTCAGAAAGATTTGGGAAAAAGAACAAGTGCCACAGATAGTTTGGAAAGAACGACACCTCATCAAGATACGAAAGAAAGGAGATCTGAGCAAACTTGTGGACTACATAGGAATCACACTGCTGTCGGTACCACAGAAAGTCTTCAACAGAGTCTTACTATAGTGGATGCCCAATCTCAAGATCAACAGTTCGGATTTCGTAAGGATCGGTCGTGTGACTGAATTGTGATACTACTGATCATCCTTGAACTCTTTGTTGATTGGAACTCGTCACCATATATCAACTTCCTTGATTTTGAGAAATTATTCGGCAGGGTGGACAGGAGGGTTTTATGGAAACTTCTTCCTTGACATCATGGTGTACCTGAGAAGATCGTCAACATCATCCGGACTTCATACGACGGACAACACTGCAGAGTCGTGCATGCAGGACAACTGACAGATGCATTCCAAGTGTGACCGGAGTTAGACAAGGCTGCTCACTCTCCCTTTTTTCTGATGGTCAGCTGGATTATGAAGACCTCGACACCTGAAGAGAAGCACGCAATACAATGGATAGCTCGGAGTCGACTAAAATATTTGGTCTTCACAGATGATCTAGTTCTTCCATCCCATACATACCAATCAATGGAGTTGAAGACAGACAGTGTAGCAGCAGCCTGTGCATCAACAGGAATCATTATACTCAGGGGAAATGCAAGACCCTCAAATGCAAGTCGGAGAACACCAACCCAATCTCACTTGTTGGTGAAGCCCTGGAAAATGTGGAGTCTTTCACGTGTCTGGGAAGTATCTTCGATGAAAGAACACGCTGAAAACCTCTACACTCTGTTTCATCAAGCAGTATTTTAGTTTGTTCGTTTCTCTCCCCTGTCTTATATTTTAACCTTTATTTAGGCCTCTGTTAACCGCACTTTATATTTAACACCACTAACTCTATACAGAAGGACGTGGTCTGATCTAATCGAATAAATTTAGTTTCGTTAGCTCTGTGTTGACACTGAATATTGGCAATTTGTTTGTTATATACTCAACGTCTGTTGACCGGATACTATCGGTAACAGCCTGCTGTGGGTGAGAAGCCACTTCCAGCTGAGGATGAAATTTGGAAAAGACGTTTTAGGTGGGCAGGACACACATTGACCAAACTATCAAACTCTATCACGATGCAACTACTAACTTGGAGTGCTAAATGGAAGGGGAATAAATGGAGATCAAGGAACACACTGCGTTGGAAATTGAAGGCAGACACAGAAAGGTTGAGTAGTAACTGGAAAGAGCTTCTAGTGTCGGGTACTATGTTAAGCCCATATACCTTATTCTAGCTTTCGGACAGACCATTTCATTCATTCTACTTGAGTCACATTCTGACCTTGTTATTTATTCGCTTATAAATCTTAACTGTTTTTATATGAACACGTAGGTGTGTGTACACTTCTGATCCCATTACTCATCACATGTCTGTAACCTACTTTTATGTAACTGTAAATATTGATCAACGCTTGGTTCAAGGGGAGATGGCTCACCTGCCATCTCTACTCTGTTTCCTTTCTCTTCTCTCTATTCCATTCGCCTTATATACAAAATATATGTATTCACAAGTCCATTCTCGTTACTCGACTTATTTAATTCCATGATAAACTAACGCGATTTAAGTCGATAATTATATACGAGGATATGTGATAACAAACATTCATACGATCTAATTGGAGTCAGATCCACGGGCCACTAAAAGCTGGAGAGGATTGCCCAGGACAGATTTGGATGTAGGATGCTGGTGAGCGGCCCATCCACCTCCATGGAAGGTAACGAGTGTAACTATGTGGATGGATTTGCGTGTATATAGCATGCAATGCTCTTTGAACCTAGCACACAGCAATACCGTCATGCACTGCACATTGCCCTTTCTCAGATCAGGCAACTCGAAAGTAACGAAAACACCACCGAAGCATAAGACGAGATAGGTATACCAGTCAATAAAATATAAACCGCTGGAGACTAGGGTGAATATCACTAAGCCGGCGTACATGGCGTCCAGCAGGAAACCAGGTGCATGCTTCATTATATATTTTTGGGTCATGATCCTTCCACAGGATCACCTGAGAAAAGCTTGTTATGAATTTCGCTTCCTCTAAATAGTCTAATTAGGCAATCCACTTAGTATCAGACGAATAGCAAAGCCGCTAAAACGACAATAGATAGTAACGACTGACGGTATGTGCAAAAGTCAGGGACATAATCAACGACGACGTTGAACCAATCCCTTAAGTCAAGAGTGTTTATTGAAAATTTATGTCTAGCCTTCGCCCTTTTCAATCTTTCTCACAGATCGATGAATTTGTTGGATATTGAAGATCGGCGTCTTCGAGCGGCTGCGTTGCCTTATGTTTCGTGCGCCAGTGTTGAAAAGGCTTGGATGTGCGTTTACGTCCACATGTACAGACATATCTCACGAAAAAGTACTTTAGAGTTGGATCATCGCTGTTCTTTTTGCATACTGACATAACGTACTTAGTACGCGTATACTAAGAAAATAATTATTAACCACAAAAATCATATTACCTTATGTACTTCTTTCAAACAGGTCTCAAAATTGTCCCAACTTGTAAATCTTCGAGATAACATAATATCATTGAAGATTCGTCCTATATCATGCATCATCACGATGGCAACGTCTTCGTTACTTGAAGAATGAACGTTACCAGACATGGTGTGGCTGAACTTAATTCAATCTAAAAATGTACAGAATACTGAGAAATGATTTTGGACCTAACTTATTCTCTCTCTTTCTTCCCACTAGATCGGAACACCTCAGAGGACATAGCAGGCGAGTAGAAAAGCCAAGAACGAACAAAATACCCGTGGCATACAGGTTTTCACACCGAGTCATCAATACTTGGAACCTGCTGCCTGAAGCAGTGGTGTCCGCACCTTCAATTGACTCTTTCAAGAGAAGACTGGACACTCACAGAAGCATACTAGAAGAGGAATAACATAGGCCGTAGGCCTGTCCTTACTACACAAATCTGAATCTGATTTGACCGCTTCTGAAAATTTTCACGAATTGTCGACGTGACGCACCAATCATTTTGCGACAGTTTGACCTTCAAGTGCTCGCAACCCCCAAGAGCGTTGCCGTGGTATGGTATGTGGGTGGTGTCTGGACATTAAGTAAATCTATATATCATAGTTACCTTACGCATTTAAAAAGTTAGTTTTTATACAAAGAACATCAGCGAATACCAAGTATTGACTGTGGAGTTTTTTAGTTAAGCATGTGCTTGTGGAAACCAGACTTTTTGACATGGTGTCATCTGACCACCTTTTGAAATCTAGTCCAGAAACATCACTGAAACAGAACTCAATTTCACTCAAGCGAAGTACAGGGCATTCGATGCTAGTGAAGTATAAATCGTTGGTATTAGGAAAATAACTTTCAGTTAGTATTATTTTTACTAACGACTATTCACATCGATGCCCATTCATAGCTAGTATGGTTGTTGGCTGGATAAAAGCCATGAGTGACTGGACCGAAACGTGAGATCGTTATACAGTGTTAATGTATATCAGCATGATCTGTGTTGGGTGATACAAACTATGTGATCGGGATCCTAACGATGGTTGTAATTAATGATTTAAGACGCACAAATTCAGTTAGTGACCTAGGCGCATATGTTCCTTATCTGCCCCCACATTTTAAGCTTCAACATCCATAGTCTATTCACCACTAAAACCATATTCTGTGTTTAATATATTTTCCATCACTGTTATTACCACTACCATGATATTCATCTTCTTAATGTTATCTCGCTGTATCTTTGCGGTACATGGACTTGAACCGATAGATATTTGTCGTATGACGCTCACGGTTGAGTGACTGGAAAAAAAGGTTATAGCGCCCTTTAATATTGCTTTCGCTAGGTCTATTTCTGATAAATTTGAGTCTACAAATGGTTTCAAAATAAATAACTGGGTCATTGGAAGTACAAAAACTCAGACTTAACTGCAAGTCATGTTGTAAAATGTGTTGTTCTGATTGCAGTAATTCTCGTGAGTTTCACTAGGGTAATATTCTCCATAGTCCAATCAGATTCAACGATCTAATGCATCATATATGTTAATATTTTTGCCTGGGAACCAATCGGTCATTAGTTTATTTCCTTGTAATTTCAATGAACGTTAATTCAACTTATCGAATGTGCTGTAGACGTTTGATCGTCCGTTGGAGTTTCTGGGATTTTCAATCCTTTGGTATTCAACAAGGATTCCAACTTTTAAGATTCTCCATCACTTTCCACCAATTGGGGGTGCAATTTAATAAAGGATAACACTAAGTACATGAAGCCAGTCACATAAAGTTATTGAGCAGAAGTGTAGGTTAAAGTTATTCATCAAAACCATATGTCCCCAGCATAACAAAAACAGTCAACGTTTCCCGGCTTTCCATAGTCACAAAATGGCACTTCCAAAATCGTGAATCGCCCAAATGCCCTGGTATGACCGAGAGCGGGTTGGTTTCGCCCTCCCTCTCGAAATACTCTCACACGGCCACGCGTATACAGCCTCTGCCAGGGAAGTCCTACTCACTGCCTTCTCGCACCAGGTGTGTTGTTTACGAAAATGAGAGGACGAAAAGCGAATGTCCGGCGCTTTAACCGGATCCCAAACCAAATCAATGGTGCACATGGGCTCCAGTATCCTGCGGGGACAAATGGCGTATGAACCAATTTTCGGTCACCGGCTACCATGGGACTGCATATCCTTACGATGCTCCACTGCCTTGTGGGTAAGGCCTTCAGGTCAAAGGCTCGGGGTGTGGCCCCCTAAGATAACCACCTGTTGCGGTCTGGACACCCGGGCAGTATCACAGCCCACACACTGATGAACTGCCTTTAATTATTGAAACTACTTTTCTTGCTTCAACTAACAATCAAATGATTCAAATTATTACCATTACTATTATTGTTATTATTGTGACTATTATTATTATTTACTACGACATTATTCACCCTCTTTTATTCCTACTGTCTATACTTATTTTTTCGACTTATACAGCAGCTCATCTTTGGTGGAAATTCGACTCTATCTAAACGTACTCGAGTCACTGTCCGGTTGAAAATTGTATGTTACCACCGAATATGAGTACTGAAGCAGTTTTTCTGAAACCACGTGCACCATTCACAAACTGGCTACCTTCAACGTTCGCACACTTATGCAGGTTGGACAACAGATAGGGCTGACTATGTCTTTAGAAAGTCTTAATATCTATGTTTGCTGTCTATCCGAGACCTGTATTCAAGACTCTGGTGAAGTACTACAAATTCGCTCTTCATCTGTCGCTTCGTAAAGCTTGTTTTACGTGCGTTTATCCGGGGACTGTGGCATCTTCGTCTGGTTTTGCTGGCGTCGGTGTCGCGCTGAGCGCTAGAGCTGAGGCAGCACTAATCGATTGGATCTCCATTAACAGTTGGTTATGTGCCGTTAGATTAGAAAGTCCCATCAAAGTGAGAAGAAATCGGCGTGAGAAACTATGTCTTTTCGTCATCTCCGCCTATGCCCCGACAGATTGCAGCCCGAATGCAATCAAGGATGAGTTTTATCATCAGTTATCTGTTTTTCTCCAGAAAGTGCGTTCGACAGATATTGTAGTACTAGCCGGAGACTTGAGTGCTCAGGTCGGGCGTCTAGGCGGTGTGTGTCTGAGAAGTTTATTAACATCCTAAAAGCCCTATATATAAACACCTCAGGCAGAGTGAGGGCTCACAACTACATCTCTCCATTGTTCCATTCGAGCAGTGGGGTTAGACAGGGTTGCCCAATCTCATCATTCCTCTTCAACTTTGCCATCGATGACATTCTGGAAACAGCTCTGATGGATGTAAGTAATGGTGGTGTGGATCTGTTGCCTTGAGTATGCGGATGATATTGTCTTACTGTGCGATAATGCCCAAGCCATGCAATCCGCACTTAATCAGTTGGCAATCAGTGTCCGTAGGTACGGTATGAGCTTTGCACCTTAGAAGTGCAAAGTACTTCTACAAGACTGACAGGATTCTAATCCTGTACACACTCTGGATGGTGAGCAAGTAGAAGTAGTCGAGATGTTATTCTGGCTGTAAAAGGTCGTATCTACAACGCGTCGGTGAAAGCAGTTCTGCTCTATGCTTTTGAAACCTGGCCTCTCTGAGTTGAGGATGTCAGACGACTCTCTGTGTTTGATCATCGTTGTCTCCGAAGGATTGCTGCCATCCAGTGGCAACACCATGTTAGTAATGCAAAGGTTCGGAATCGTGTGTTCGGGCGCAGAGACAATAATCCAATTGGTGTCACTTTCTTGAAACATCGACTTCGGTGGCTTAGACATGTTCTACGAATGTCGTCCCAGAGAATTCCAATTATTTGCCGACGCTGGGACTGGTTGGAAAAATCGGAGAGGTGGTCAGTGTATGACATGGTGTGAAAGAAAGCTGCAAAGATCTGGCTTGTGTTGGTCCTTCACGACTCCCTGACTGGGGTACGAGAGATGGTGCGACACAGTGGCTAGAGAAGTTATCAGATATGGCTGAGAATAAAAGCCAGTGGCGATCCTGCTGTAACCTTTTAATTTCTTCATAAAATGTGATTGTATCTTTCTTAACAGAAAGAATTCTGGTTATACCTTACCGTTTCCCCCATTATTACTATTATTATTATTACAGTACCTTTGTTCAATGTCTTCGTTATTGTTCTCTTTTTTTAAGCTCCTTACCTTTTTTCTTTTTCCTTCTCTTTAAATTCTCATTGTTTTGTGTGGCGCATATATATTGGCGCTCTCTTGTACCAATATTTCTATGTTCAAATAAATAAATAAATTTACTACAACTTCATACCAAGATCTTTATGATAATAGCTTTTAAACTAAACTTTAAATAGTCCATAGACAAGTAAGTCATGCCATACAGTTTTATAAAGAAAAATATACTCAGTAATATACATTTTTTGTTCAACGTAACTTTAAATATTAATTTTCATATCTATTTCTACAGGTTATCACCAATCTTTAAACTTTTTCATCAAATGCGGAATTCTTCATTTTATATTACCAAATTGATCGTTTATGAGTGCTTACCTCACAGTCCATTCAGACGATGCAATTTTTCTAGTGATTCCGGGGATTCACAATGTTTAACAAAGCCTCGATATAAATGGGCTGTATATGGCAAAAGGTACTTTTAGTATCACTGAGGAAATTTTTTAAGTGCAACTGATAATGATCCACATAAAACTTCCATAATTTTATTCCCAGGACAAGGATCTCATTTTGTCGGAATGGGCAAAAATCTTGTAAAGTTACCGAAGATAAGGCAAATGTTTCAATGTGCCAATGAAATATTAAGAACAGATATTCTTCGTATTTGCCTTGAGGGTCCTGCTTCAAAACTATCAAAAACCATTCACTGTCAACCAGCTACTTTTATAATTTCTTTAGCAGCCCTTGTAAAGCTTCGAGAGGAAAATGACGAGGTTTCTATGCCATATAATTCACGCTATATGTTTTAAGTTAATTAGAAATTGCGTGGTTACAGCAGGGTTTAGTCTCGGCGAGATCAGTGCTTTAGTGTTTTCGGGTGCCCTGACGTATGAAGAAGGTGAGTCTACTTATTTTCATATATTAATGAAAACAGGTCTGCATATCATTCGTGTCCGAGCAGAAGCCATGCAAAAAGCTTGTGATGAAAAAGCTGGAGCAATGGTTACTGTTTTCCTCAATCCTGGATCCCCATTAAAACTTTGTATAGCAGCAGCTATCAATCATTGCGAGGTTCGCCATAAAATCCAGAACCCTTGTTGTAAAGTTGCTAACTATTTATATCCAGATTGCAAAGTTATCGCTGGAAATAAAGAGGTAATATATTTCAAATCAGGATAATATTTTTTGAACTCCATACAATACTTGCCTATCATAATCCCTTACTTTACCTATCAACAATATCTTTACTATATTTCTAAGTTATAGAAAAGGATCTGTAAATATCTCTTGATTTAATTACTAAATGATATAGTCAGTATTGCATTAAATAGAATCAACACAGAGGATAAAAATGCCTTCAGTAATGTTTACATCTTCGTACTTATACAGAGTCACAGATTCAAAAGATGTGGTCATTATTATGTAGTGTTTTTCCTTACTGGATTTTCGTTTGCCATCCCATCTAGATTGTACTTCTGTGGTTGTTTGACTTAATACACTGCTCAGCTTCAGTAAAAATACGTTTCAATTAGTTTCCGGAGACTGGTTTATTTTAGTTTCATTATGACTTTCTGTTCACTGGGTGATTTATCGCTTACTTAATACATGAAACCATTATATACAACAGAACTCCGTAAATTTGTTATTCTTTGTGCATCCAATTAGTGTTGTTCTCATCACAAATTCGCCAATGCACCTGCCTTCTCATGTATGTCAATATTCATATGAGCCCTTCTGTTTTTATTTATCAAGTATGGGTAATTATAAACAGCTTCGATGTTCAGTTTTCCTTGGTGAAAAAACTAGACACATTTGATATACAAACGTTAAGAACTCACGCTCTACCCTTAGAGTTACATCCTACTTAGAGGTCTCCTTATCAACATAGATTATGAGCTTATCTACTTCTATTAAATAAATAGTTCGGAAATGTAGTATTTTAAGCTCAGTGAAACCATATGGTTTTGTTTTACAGCTGCGTATATCATGCACTTGTAGATAAGCAGCTACTATCTTAAATTTTTACTGATTTTGTTAAGATTAACTGCATAAAATAGTTATTCCCTAGTTTCATTTGGATTTAAATCTTCCTATCAAATAATTTCAGGCAATCGACTTTATTGAAGATCATGCTGGTCAATTTGGAATACGTCGAACTAAACGATTACCAGTTGATGGGGCTTTTCATACTCCTTTGATGTTCTCTGCCCGGAAAGTTATTGCTAATTCACTAGATAGGATGGGGAATTTCCGGAGACCTTCGATACCTGTTATTAGTGCCGTAGATGTGTTACCGTATAGAGGTACAATGAATATTAAACGAAAACTTGCTATGCAGGTACATACTTCTGTATTAAGAATTTGTAAGAAAGCTAATGCTAGCATAAACATTTGAAATTTTTTTAATGCTTCGCACTTACAAGAAACGGTGTAGGTTATTCTAGGAAGCACTCTAGAAATCCACTCGTAAGTCATAAAACTATTTTTCGAGGTTTCACAGGGAGAGATGTCATTTACGTTTAATGGCTCAGAGTCGATCACAATGATGTAGTTGCATTCATTTCCTATCTTACCTTAAGTCATGTTCATCAATATCATTTCTATTCCTCAAATCCATTCATTTCAGATCGTATTCCTCAATGTCTAATTTTTTTCACTATCATTATTTCGGTTCTTGCTAATAATCTTGTAAACTGAATGCTTCCTAGTTGTGTGACAGTAACTTGGATCGATACATATTTGTTACAATCTTTATGACTGACTAACCCAACTACTTAAGCATACGTTCAGTGATGTGATTAAAAACAATATACGTGTTGAACAATTAATAGATCCCTGATATTGACCATTTCCGGTAATAAATGTTAGACGTACTGTTGAATCTAAGTATGATATCAGACTCAATTTATCGATATAATTCCATAATTAACAAATTACCTTGCTTACGGTTAGAAGTTGGGTATGTGTAGTTAGCATTCATCCTACTCATCTCATATGTAGTAATACGAATAGGGACTCACTGTGGCTTAATAAAAGACTACTTCTGTTAGATTTACTTAGTATATCACTAAATAACATTTAAAAATATACCTGATGTAGAAAAGTAGTAGCCATTAATTTTTCACGCAGTAAGGACGGTCTTAGTGATTTGCTATCAAAATACAATCTTCATTAAGGAATAAAATAAATGTCTCACCGTCCAAAGATAGGTTTCCTGACATTTTTAAAAATAGACTTTCAAATTTACAAACGCGATATCTCAATTAGTTGCATGTAACGCATAAAAAACTCAAGAAATAAGTTTCGCGCTGGTTGCTAGTCACCAGAAATCTGTGTCTCCGATCTCAGAGAAAGTGACACTCCCTGTAGTCAATCAGCAGTAAGGGCTAGATAAACATAGCATTTGTTATTATACGGATAGACCAGTCGACAGAAATGTATACACATTTATTACTTATTTTAACACAAATATAGGTACAAGGGGGCAACAGATACATAAGCGCCACGCAATAACAATGAGAATGGGAAGAGATAGAGAATGTAAGGTGCGCATAAGAAAAAAAGAACAATAACGACCACAGATTAGTGTATGGTAGTGTAATAATGATAATGATAATAATGGGGGAAACGGTAAGGTATAACCAGAATTCTTTCTGTTAAGAAAGATACAATCACATTTTATGAAGAAATTAAAAGGTTACAGCAGGATCGCCACTGGCTTTTATTCTCAGCCATATCTGATAACTTCTCTAGCCACTGTGTCGCACCATCTCTCGTACCCCAGTCAGGGAGTCGTGAAGGACCAACACAAGCCAGATCTTTGCAGCTTTCTTTCACACCATGTCATACACTGACCACCTCTCCGATTTTTCCAACCAGTCCCAGCGTCGGCAAATAATTGGAATTCTCTGTGACGACATTCGTAGAACATGTCTAAGCCACCGAAGTCGATGTTTCAAGAAAGTGACACCAATTGGATTATTGTCTCTGCGCCCGAACACACGATTCCGAACCTTTGCATTACTAACATGGTGTTACCACTGGATCTCAGCAGTCCTTCGAGGACTGCGATGACCTAACACCCCCAACTCGTATAGGCCAGGTTTCAAAAGCATAGAGCAGAACTGCTTTCACCGATGCGTTGTAGATACGACCTCTTACAGCCAGACTAACATCACGAAGGCGCCAAAGGTGGCCCAGATTGGCATACGCCGCTCTGGCTTTCACTATACGTGCATTGATCTCATCACTCACACCCCCACCAGCACTTATGCAGCTACCTAGATACACGAGCTTCTCGACTACTTCTATCTGTTCACCATCCAGGGTGAGTACAGGATTAGAATCCTGCCAGTCTTGTAGAAGTACTTTGCACTTCGAAGGTGCAAAGCACATACCATACCTACGGACACTGATTGCCAACTGATTAAGTGCGGATTGCATGGCTTGTGTATTATTGCGCAGTAAAACAGTGATGTTGTTTTGAAGTATTTATTCATTGTAATTGTCCATTATTATAACTAATAAAACTTTATGGTCCAGCCACAACTTGTTTGTATATCTCCTATTTTTATCCCTGTAACACAGTAATTGCAAGTTTATAATCATGGCGTTTGAGATTTAAACTGTTGAAAACAATTTTTCGTCCTAATACTCTTTTTGAGAGCAATCTGTACGGACCTTTCGAGTTACTGGATAATTGTTTATTCGTTATTTCTCTGTAAATCTATTTCGTGCTACTTCGGAGGCATGACTAATTAGTATTCGTTTGATATCTTCAGATGTTAGCAGTTTCAAAAAAGCTTCGTGTCTTTGTACTCTTTACAGGTTATCCGTCCTGTAAGATGGGAGCAAACGATGTATGCACTATATGATCGCCCAACAGATGTCCCTTTTCCTCGTACAATTGAAGCCGGTCCTGGCCGACAACTTGGTGCGATGCTGAGGATGGTCAGCCGTGGAGCATTTGATGGTTACAGCTCTATAGACGTGTAGATATTGTCATTCTCTTCAGTTGCATTTAATGTGTACCCATGTATATACCAACCAACGTGTACAGCTAAGCAAAATATATTAGCAAATTAAACTCAATGATTTTATTTGGGGATAAATGATTTAGTAATGTAATAATTTTTAGAGGTGTAGTTTACTCGTGATTTATTTTTTCACCTCTATAAGTTACGATATTCTTTTCAGTTTCCCATATTTTGACTTCGTAAAGTAAATTATTAGGGATAGCATTGACTAATTGTGACCATATGAAAACTGCTAGGTTTTCCGTAGTTGATACAATACTATTCTTTTTAAAATATTCAACATCTTCATCTATATTTTTATGATCTAATAGGTCGAGGACATGTTTTTGAACAACTGATTTCAAGTCACTTATGTTCATAATCATACCGGTTCTTTGATCGATAGGTCCTGAAACTGTGACTTCTAATTTGTAATTATGACCATGTCCCTTTGGATTATTACATTTTTGAAACAGTTTAACATTTTCTTCATTACTAAGATGTTGTGAATGAAGACGATGACAGGCTGAGAATGATTCTACTCTCGTGAGGTAACACAGAGCACACATCTGTGAAGTATTACATGTATATAGTCCTGTTAAAAGAAACAAAAGTTAACAATAATAGTTTGGCATAAAATCAACTATCAATATTCGAAAATTTCCTCAATGACTATTATCTTCATACGATAAAATGACTGCACAACAAAGGGAGTCCCCATCATTAGTAATACCGACAAAGCTAAATGAGTGGCCGTTTTTAATTCAGTCAAGACCTAGTTGAGTAAAGCAACTAGTAACAAGGAGAAATTCTACCGTCCCGTGGTATACAGAAAGCAAGTAATCCTTGTTCCCATTGTGTAAAGTGTTGGCGTACAAACCCAGTGACTAAATTTATTTTTACTTTATTTAAATACATAAATATTGGTACAAGGAGGCGCTGAATATATATATGCCACGCTTCATCATTCAGTTTGTGTGAGGGTTGGGATATTGCTCGAGCGCCCAAACCGGACCAAGTGGTTTCCTTAGGGGGCCACTACCCGAGCCTTTGACCTAGAGGTCCAATCCACAAGGCAGCGGGGCAAGTTTTTAGATGCAGTCCCATGGTAGCCAGTCACCAACAATCGGTTCATACACCATGTGTTCCCTCAGGATCCTGGAGCCCATGAGCAGTATTGGTTTGGGATCAGGCCTTTCCTACTCCTCTAAGGTGCAATTTTCGTATCCGCCAGCCCGGTTAAAGCGCCGGACATTCGCTTTTCATCCTCTCAACTGCATAAAAATACCCCTGGCGCGAGAATGCAGTGAGTAGGACCTCTCTGACAATGGTTGTATACCCGTAGCAACGTAAGAGCATATGAGAGAGTGGACTCTTTCCACCCTTGGTCGCACCAGGGCATTTAACGGCTAGTGCATAAAGACAATTAATATCACTAATCAGGGTCATCAAAATTACTATGCTGAGTAAGATTGCGTCAACAGAGACTTGATATTAGAGTTTCTATATCTCCAGTTTACTTCATAAGCAATGTGTATTTCTGTGACTTGTGTTGTCCTTCAAAAGATTGTCCATTAATTCACATTCGTCTTTACAATAATCTTGGCTTTAAAATATTTCCAAATTAATGAAGCTAGGAATCAAGTTAAACACTGGGCAGGTTTCTGTGTTCTTTAAGACTTGACTCTATCTAAAGTGTTAATAGAACTTGCTTTACATTGTTTGGTCACTTAGTTTGCGTCAATGCAAACAACACTGCATCCTCATCTACATCCACCAGTCACAACAAACTGCTATGGATGCCACCTACCAATTTCCTTCAAATACTTTGAATCTGATATACCCCATTTTGTTTCTCTTGTACGCCGAATCGATATCAACGGCCTCCGGAATTTTTTAATGAATATCGATCATATCGCTACGTGCATAAACAATCTCCGATATATTGCTAAGATTGCTTTGAAGCACTTTCGCCTTCCCAATATCCCTTACACGACGTATAAGATCATTTAAAATTTCAATTCCTGTTTTTTATGGTTATTTATACACAACACTTACGTTGGTAGCCTTGTCCTTGCATTTCTAGTGTTACTGTACGGCATAACTTTCTTAATTTCTTTCTACGCTAAATCCATGACTCAAAACATCGATATTTCCCTGAACAAAAGGTTGAACGGCGTCCCTCTCAGCACTCAACGACCTTCTTCTCGAGCTATCTGTGGTCACAAAGATGTCAGTACATGGGTGGTAATGTGAGGCATTAAAAAGTGCCATTTCGTATTATCCAGTGATACACACTACTCTCATTTTAAACTTACTACCCAAATATTAACACCCAGAATGGCGTCGAACGTTGAAGAAGACAGACTTGTCCCTTGTTACTTAGTCCGGGACCCCGAGTAGGATGCAAGATCCCGAAAGTGAATTGGTACTTCGCATACTGACACTTTGTTGTACTAGACCTATTAAGGTGTCTCAAAGTAACAGTACGGGAAGTATTGGGCTACGGAAACGTAGGTTGTCCAGGTTCCACACTAGTTGTCTTCATGAATCCACCTGTAAATATGTAGCATGCTGATTCGCTGTCTAGGCCAGAGGTAGCTCAACTACAATGTGCGCATGAAGAACACGGAATGTGACCTAAGCAACCAATGAAGGCGAACATAGGGGAAGCAATGGTGAAATGACGACTTCTGAGGTTGGCTACTTGGGGTTGAGCAAAAGGTAGGTAATTTGGCGTGTATTTGGGAAAAACGTAGACAGTTTCGCCACATTTCAAACATGCAGCAACAAAAAGGGGAGTTTTGCAACATTTCTCCATGGCAGACGAGGAAGAGGATCTTTAGCACATCTCCTCTTTTAAATCCGTGTTCCTATTTATCCCCTCTATTGATTTCTTAGAAAGGATGCTGGAAAGGGGAGGGCATTTTCATGTTCGATCTCTGAGCGACGCTGAATCAACCTTCAGAAAACTCACCTACTTACTAGGGTCAAAAAGAGGATTATGGACTAATGTGAGGAATCAGGAATGGGACGAAAAGTAAGGAGTTAGTGTTCGAACCTACAGTTTGGGTTTTCATGACAAAAAATACAACATAATCCTCGAGTGTAACATGGATGGTCGAACCTCGCGCTAAAGCTCAAGGCCTGCTTTTGGTTCATCCGTAAATTATAGTCCTGTCGAGGCACAGTATGATGGACCTAAACGTCATCTGGTATGAATGTGCAACAGAGCACCTCCAGCTATGGTTGTATTCAATTTCACAATTGAGAGCGAAGGCTTACAGAAGTCTTTATTTTCAGTAAGTTTAGCTGTTAAAACTCTTTTACTTATTATAAGTCTAGCAGTAAATAAATCCCCATAATCAATAGTTCTGTCAGTCTTCGATGTTTTATGCTGACCGTATTAATTTTAATGGATTCACCTAGCTGGAGGCTGTCGGTCACTCATCCGCACCAGATCATCAGTGGGTATGCCATACTACTCATCACTTTGATCAGTTAGCCAGCTTAGATCAGAAGTTTCTATATAAACCGATAGCCTTCCGAAAAATTCTTCGAATTCTTTTATTTCTGACCTGACTGGGTTGGCAAGCTTCAATTGTAAAGGGATTACTCGTTATGGCTTTGTCAATCTCCGAAAACTTGTGACATCTTTACGACTTTCATTATTTGTTACCGATCTGTCTTATGCTCCAGGTACTCGGACCATACGATGTGCGGATGGTCTTTAACTTTAGAAGTGTTACGAAGTCTGTCGAATAATCCGATTCTACAAGGGGAATTGAAGATGACCTAGATAATATCCTCACCTTTTAAGAAGACCTTGTAGCGGTAAATAAATCCCCAAAATAAATAGCACTAAGTTTTCGACATTGGATGCTGACCATATGTTTTAGTGGACTCACTTAGCTGAAGGCGCTCGGTCAGGCATCCGCACCAGATCACGTGTGGTAACGCTGTGCTCAACATCAACCGCAATCGCTAGCCAGATTAGATCAGAGAATTCCGATATATTGGTCATCGCCAAATATACTCTTCCGATCTCCTCGACTCTGTCTTTTGATTTCTCTGGGCGGGAACGAAATATATTAGGTGTTACTGGTAGAAGCGTTGTCAAACACTGAATACCTGTGACATCATCATTGGTGAAACCGACGTGATCTGGTACACCTAATTGCAACTGTGAGTCTGTTCCTTTTTGGGATTTTTATATATCATTGCCCTATTTTTTTTATTTTTTTTAAACATTGTGATATTTTTTCGTAATTTTTCTTGGATATATATATTTTTTCCCCTCGTTCATCATCGTACTTCATACTTCATCATGACTGAACAGACACCTAAAGTACTCAAGCTCAAGACTTTGTCCCCGCCTTCGTTTCAACTGATGCCTTTCTGGCCCGACAACATCGAAGCCTTGTTTTGCTACGCAGAAGCCGACTTCTCCGAGCACGGCGTGATCGACACACGTGCACAATTCCTCGCAGTAGTCAAGGCACTACCGCGCGAATTCAACAGGTACGTAACACCTAGTATGTTTACTAGTGATGTTTCCGATCCTTACGAAATCTTAAAACGCTCGATTCTTAAACGAGGAGACCTAACCGATCGACAAAGGTTAGATCAACTCTTCAACAATATCGACCTGCAACACGGTTCTGCGACAGACATGTTACAACGGATGAGAGAGGTAATAGGCCCAAGAACTTTCGACGAAGGTCTATTCAAACAACTCTTCTTGTCAAAACTTCCCCAACAGGTGCAAGCAGTTCTGGTCTCGTTCCAGAACAACGCCTTAGACGAGCTAGCTGCATCTGCCGACCGCATTTTAGAAATTACGAAACCTTCTACTACCGAGGTATTTTCAGTCAAAGAAAAACCTCAAACGACTCAGAATGATATAAACGACTTATGTCACACACTCACGCGTTATCTTAGTCTTCGTACCGACCGTAAGAGATCGCGCACACCACGTAG